AACACTAGTTTGGTATAAGTATTAATATTATTATTAGTAGTAGTAGTAGTAGTAGTAGTAGTAGTCGTAGTGCTGCACTGCATAGAGTGAATGGAGTGTAATTATGTATTATTCCATGTATTATTATCAAATTTAATCATCTCAATGCATGTTCTGAATGCCATCAAATAAGCTAAATAGGTGTTTAGGAATTAAATTATGAATATTTGTAGCAGTTAAACACTATAATTTACTTGTGTTCTTTTCCTTTCGCATTAATGAATGAAAATATAATCAAATATTGAACAAACATTTTATGTTACTTCACAAATAGTTTGGCACTTCAGTCATGAACACTTGTTTGGTAATAAAAGTATTAATATTAATAGTAGTAGTAGTATTAGCAGCAGTAGTGAAAAATGCATTATTAACTAACTAACTAACTAAATAAATAAATAGTGACATTGCATCAAGTGAACGGAGTGCAATTATGTGTTGTGCTTTGGACAAAAATATGTAAAAAAACAATTACAATTTCACAGGAGGGCTATCAACGTTTTCTTCAGCTTCAATGCTTAAGTCAAACACTAGTGTGGTATTATTATTATTAGTAGTAGTAGTAGAGAAATATGCAATAAATAAATAAATAAATAAATAAATAAATAAATAAATATATATAAATAAATAAATATATATAAATAAATATATATAAATAAATAAATATATATAAATAAATAAATAAATAAATAAATAAATAAATAAATAAATATAAATAAATATATATATATATATATATATATATATATATATATATATATATATATATATATATATATATTTATTTACTTTTTGCATATTTCTCTACTACTACTACTCCTACTATCATGCATTAATACATTTTTATTTAATGCCATATCAGCAACCAAGGCTATTTTCATGGCAAGAATATTCCAACAATAAATAATATACAATCAAACAAATGAATGCATACATTAAACAAGATATTTAACACTAATATATGATAAAAATTGAAAATGTCCCTGGTGTCACTGTGCTAAATATGTCCTTAAGAGAGTACATTTCATAAAAAGCACTATTATAGATTAAAATGTCCAGTATAGTTTCTGACTGATCTACAGTAAGAGTGGCTAATTATTAAAAAAAAACTTCTTAAGTGTGCAGATTTCTCCAGAATGACCTCTTTACGCTCCCAGTATTTCTGCCCCTCCAGAGCCAACTCAGGCTTTCATTTTGACAGTCCAGAAAGTGATGTATGACAGGATTCTCCCTCATTTTCTCTCCTAATGCTTCCTAAAGCCTGCTCAGCGTCCGAGTGCCCTCAGAAGTCGACACCATGACCCTTCATTCAGTGGATTCCCAAACACACACACACACACACACGCACGTCTCTATCAGAATAACCTGAGCGTGGGAAGACACGGCGAGAGTACATTCATCATTTTAACGATTAATTTCCTCGTCCTGTCCTTCGCCGGATCTATTAATATCGTTCCCGAGGTGTAAGTGTGCATTTCCAGCGATGAGATTTATTCCGATATCAAGCCTTCATTACTCATCCCCGCAGCACCTGCGATTCGGAGCGCTCCAATCAAATCCAATATTTTTTAATCACAATATGAAAATCTTAACCCGATCAAGCCATCTTCCGCCATTACCGCGCTCATTTCTCACACCGCCAGTCGTATATTCGCCCAATCAGATCCGAATGTTGTGCAATAATTGTTAGAGAATGAAAAATTAAAAACCCCAGCAAGGTGTCGGTAAACATTAATCAGATCGTCCGGCTATTTCTGCCAGGTAATTTGCCGTAATATTCCACTGTTCTTTAATAACGTGCAGTATTAAAGGGACGGCGTCTCTTGTAAAACGCCTCAGAGCGAAGCCGCTACATTTATTAAAACACGTCATGATTTGAAGCTGTCGCGCCGCACAGAACGGGCTTTGTTCAATTAGACAATCGCCGCAGCTTTAAAACACTTCAGATTCCCCTGTAATCCGGCGGCGTCCTGTAATTAATCAACTAATTCCGAGTCTCGGGACGGCTGTAATTACGGCAGCTCGTAATGGCTTATTCTTTCTGCTCCAGCACCTACATTTCATTTGTTTATTTTCTGGCTCTCATAAATCTGGGGGAGTGTCAGGAGCGCCACAATATTAGTGCAATAATCAAAGTTAATTATCGCTGCGCCTCCTCCTGCTAATAACCACAGACAGAGAGAGAGAGAGAGAGAGAGAGAGAGAGAGAGAGAGAGAGAGAGAGAGAGACTGAACCGGTGGCCGATCCTCAACACAGCAGCATTCAGCAATGCTTCGGCTCATGCTTTCACATGGTAAAGTACTCCCTATGAGAACAGGCACTTATTAAAGAGCAGATATTAAGCTGCTTTTTACAAGATGTAAAATAATCTCTGATGTGTCTAGCGCAGGGATGTCAAACTCAATTCCTGGAGGGCCGCAGCCCTGCACAGTTTAGTTCCAACCCTGCTCCAACACACTTACCTGTAGGTTTCAAACAAGCCTGAAGGACTCAATTAGTTTGATCATGTGTGTTTAATTAGGACTAGAACGGCCCTCCAGGAGTTTGACATCCTTGCTCTAGAACACGGGTGTCAAACTCGGTTCCAAAAGGGTCGCAGCTCTGCACAGTTTAGTTCCAACCCGAATTAAACACACCTGATCAAACTAATTGAGTCCTTCAGGCTTGTTTAAAACCTACAGGTAAGTGTGTTGGAGCAGGGTTGGAACTAAACTGTGCAGGGCTTCGGCCCTCCAGAAATTGAGTTTGACACCCCTGCTCTAGAGTGTGTGGTGAAGCTTCAGCTCAAAATAGCACACAAATAATGTTATATAAATCTCTTGTAACTGATGCCTAATTTAATAACTGTCGCTTTAAATTCAAATGAGATTTGAAAAGAGGGCGGAGCTACAGATGCCTGCGTGTCATCACAGCGACATATGTAAAACAAGACTAGCTGTGTTGTGATGATGTTCTCCAGCTCTCTGAAACGGACCCTTTCAGGCTTTGATACTAATTGTAGTGTTTTGGTGACTGACGCTTTAAATGCAAATAAGATTCAGAGAAGGGCGGAACTACAGACACCTGTGCATCAAATGTAAAACAGCAGTGTCTATGCTGACATGATCTTCAGCAGCTCAAACACTCTAATGGCTAATGGACAGACGGCTGCTGCTCACTCAGGCCTGCTGGACATGCTAATGAGAAAGAGATGGGAACTAGTGGGCGGGGCTTTCCCCCTCTGATGACACGTACAAAGGGAGAATGTTAGAATGCTCATCAGCCAATCAAAATCAAGCATTCAGCATTCCTGTAGAATACATTTAAATATATAAAGAAATATGTTGTCTTGAGTTATCAATCAGATAATCCCATGTTTATTTTTGGCTATTTATCCTGTTGTTAAACTCAATGACATTTTATTAGCTGTCCAGGGCTACTAGTTATTATTTTACAGAAACAGCACATCTCTGACCCATAAATCGCTCAAGGTTTGATGTTTTCCATTGCCTCATGATGCTAACTTAGCTGTGTTTCCCCTCTCTGATGAACAAGCCAAGTCATTTAACAAACTGTTTATGCTAAGGAGATGGACAGATGGCCACTAGTGGGTGGGGCTATCCCCCTCTTATGCATACTCGTCAAACCTCGCATTTTTCTCAGGATTCTCCTGTATTTAACAGTTCTATCCCGCTATCATCCCGTTTTTCTCCCGTACTTTCTGTAAAGGGTGGCGATGAAGAGTCAATCCTCTCTATACGCAAGCCATACTGCCAAACCACCAGGGAATGCCACTTGCTCTTAAATGCGAGTCTGTTCTGTGCTTTTGTTTTATTTAGGCATGAAAACACTCAAATAAATATAAAAGCGATGAGATGACCTTCCTTATTACAGGTGCAATCGCCCCCCTAATGCAATCCTTAAATACAGTCATGTAGCAGTGCGTGACTGTCAGCTCACGCGCTCCATAGTGACCGATTTGGCCGCATATGTGCCTGAAACTTAATCTATGCGACCTCATAACAACATGCCAATGGTGAAATGCAATATAAGTGTTAGTCAGAGCTTTAGGGCAGTATTCACGCAGATCTCAGATCAGATCAGACGTCCCCTCTGTAGGCAGCTGACTGTAGTAAGCAGAAGAGCACTAATGACTCAGAGCTCCTCCTGACGGTGTGACTCATGACAGGCAGAGATGCACACTACACAAAACGTCACGCATGATGTGTAAAGGTCACACGCATGCTGGAGTCAGAGAGGGTGTGTGTGTGTGTGTGTGTGTGTGTGTAGCTGTTTATACAGTATGTATCTGTAAGTGTGTTTTGTGTGTGTATCTGTGAGAGTAAGAGTGTGCGTGTGTGTGTCTGTGTGCATGTATGTGTGTACATTATGTATGTGTGTGTGTATCTTCAAAGTATAAACATCATCACATCTTTTGGAAGTCCCCATAAAGACAGCTTTAAAAAAAAAAAAGTGTGTGTGTGTGTGTGTGTGTGTGTGTGTGTGTGCATGTGGCTGGTTCGAGTCCCAGCTGGGTCAGTTGGCATCTCTGTGTGGAGTTTGCATGTTCTCCTTGTGTTGGTGTGCTCTGGGTGCTCTGGTTTACCCCACAGTCCAAACACATGCACTATAGGAGAACTGATCAAACTGGCCATAGTGTATGGGTGTGTGTGTGTGAATGAGTGTGTATGTGTTTCCCAGTGATGGGTTGCAGCTGGAAGGGCATCCACTGTGTAAAACATATGCTAGATAAGTTGGTGGTTCATTCAGCTGTGTCAACCCCTGATGAATAAAGGGACAAAGCCGAAAAGAAAATGAATGTGTGTGTGTGTGCATATGTATGTGTGTACAGTATGTATCTGTGAGTGTGTCTGTTGTGTGAGTGTGCATGTATCTTTGATAGAGAGGAGAGTGTGTGTGTGTGTGTGTGTGTGTGTGTGTGTGTGTGTGTGTGTGTGTGTGTGTGTGTGTGAGAGAGACTCACCCATTCGCCCATGATCAGACTGGCTGCTTTACTGGCTCGGCTTTGGTTCCGGCAGGCTAAGATCACATGCGCGCCGTGAAGAGCAAAGGATCGCGCCGTCTCGAAACCTGCAGATAGCAAACGAGTGGGTGGAAGAGAAGAGGAAGAGAGGAATCACACCACTGATAAAGTCACTGCGCTGATAACTGCGGCGCTCTTGCTGTTATTTGCGGGAACCCTATATCTCGGATTCATTCTCCATCAGACAGAACGCCAAAGGCTCTTCTCTAAGATCCTCAATCAAGAGCCCATCAGCTGATGAAAATGATCCAATTAAAGCAGAGAAACTCCAATAATTTCAGTAATGATAATAAAATGAAATTAAATCGCACCCAGGACAAGTCCCTGCAGCACCTCTACAGCATCTACCCTGCACAATACCAGTTATAATTTGAATTAATAATTATTAATTATGATAAATATATTTATATTTGACTTTTTTGCTCAACATTTGTGATTTTAAAATGATGCATTATTTAAAATGTGACGAAAATCTTTACTTGAAATGTAAAAGGAGAAATTATAGAAAATTGTCAATTATGGATACACTACTGGTCAAAAAGTTTGGAGTGGACAGGATGTTTACATGTAGTTTCATCAGAAATACAGTACAAAGTGTAAAATTGTGAAATGTTTTTCACTATGAAATAACTGTTCAAGAGAAGTTTATAATTTATTAATTTATTCCTGTGATTTTAGTGATGAATATTCAGCTTTATTAATCCAGTCATCAGTGTCACATGAGCCTTCAGAAATCACTCTAACAAATTATATTATGATTATTATTATTATTATTATTAATATTCATGGTAATAGTAATACAAGCAATAATGACTGGAGTAATAATGTCAATTGAAACTACATACAATAAGTAATAAATATTATATATTTTTTTTACATTTAATAAATTCTGCCTTGAACAGATTAATTGTATTTAAAATATCAAATTAAATTAATAACAAAAAAAAAACAACAAAAAAAACTGACCCCAAACTTTAGACTAATAACGTATATTATGCACAAAAACAAATAGAAATAAAAAAGAATGAAATTTTTCCCCTCCAACAAACGTGTAAATTGCTTTGACTGCTAAGTTATGTGTTATATAAAATATTATTATAATTATTATTACCTCAGTGGCTAACTGGGTAGGATTTAATAGCATTTTACATTTGATATATGCAGGTTTTAATAATGAACTTAAAGGTTATGACTGTAATGTGCCTTTCTATAATGTGAAATGAGCAAACAATGGACCGTTTAATAGGCAAACGAATAAATACTGCAACAAATATAGCGCTCAATGCATGTTTTTGCTTTAGCGGCTAAAGTAAACTAAAGTTTAGCCAATATAAAATGAAACTATTAAAATGTATAATATATATATATATATATATATATATATATATATATATATATATATATATATATATATATATATATATATATATATATATATATATATATATAAATGCATAATAAAATATAATACACACCCCCACATTTAAGCATTTTTTTAAGATATGTAAACAAAACAATATTTTTTTTATTTTGTGCACATTTTTGGTTCTGACTTGTGCTGGAAATATAGGAGAAAAAAAAAAGATTAAATAAATCAAATAAATAATTTCATATCAATAAATAAATCTATTTAAAAAAAGAATGAAATAAAGTTATCAATGTATGATTTGTCGGACAAACTGCTTTTCAAAACTCAAGATGTGTAAAGACTCTCCATCATAGTGCGTCACCGAGCCTCATTCATAAATGACTCACTTTATCAGTTATTAAATTAATTTTCAGAAATGGCCACTCTAAATGGGCCAGTCAAACCCAAAAGGTGGAAACAATGATCTAAATATACGCAGTACGGGAAGGCAGAAACAAAACACTCGCTTCCCCGAAAAAGGTTATATTTAGGGGGGACTTGGGGTATTGTTTTGGCTGGTTTTGCTGACCTGCCGCTTTGCATTGTGCCTTTGATTACACCAAGTGTGTTTAAAGTTTCTCTTAAGCTGGCATCAGCACTTTATTACCCGGAGTGGGCACCAGTCATGAAGGTACATGCGTCTCAGAATAGATGCTGCGCGAAAAAAATCCTCCAGTTCATAACAATGGCTCAAGTTTGCAAGTCGGACATTAATAATCAAGTTAAAGAAATCAGAAGGAATTTCAGATCAGGGGAACGCTGTGTTTTGCTATCATACGAAGGACACGAAGGTCAAACTTCTAGATTTGCTATATCCCACAACACCCTGGAGAAAAAAATAAAAAACTGCTGTCCTGTCCTCAGTGTGGGGCTTTTATAAACCCACAATCCTCAGATGCACATGTGTGCGCCTCCATGGGCCATAGTTGCTCATTAAATCCAGCTTAATTACAGCAAATTGACTACAGATTTGTGCATTTGTTTTGTTTGTTTTTGTTTTTAAGGTAATTAAATTCACTCATTTTCCTTCGACTTGGTCTCTATTCATCAAGGGTCACCACAGCGGAATGAACCGCCAACTATTCCAGCATGTTTTACACAGCAGATGCCCTTCCAGCTGCAACCTAGTACTGTGAAACACCCATACACACTCATCCACACACACACTACGGCCAGTTTAGTTGATCAGTTCCCCATAGCGCATGTGTTTGGACTGGGTGAACCGGAGCACCCGGAGGAAACCCACGCAAACACGGGGAGAACATGCAAACTCCACAAACACCAACTGACCCAGCCGGGACTCGAACCAGGTGTGAAATATGAGCCAGACGTGTTTAGTTTTGGTCAAGTCTCTCCTGTTTTTAAGTGTGTGAGTGGTTTGTCGTGTGGGCTGCAGCTCCAGGTTTGCTGTGTGGAGAAAGTGAAGTGAAAACTGTGAATCAGTGACAGCTGTCAGCTTTCATATCCACCGATGGCCGTAATTCCCAGCGTTGCAGAGCGATGGAGTCGTGCCTCTGTTTGAGTCGTGTTGGCCTGTCAGCTCTTTTCTGAGCCATGACAGAGTAATATGTTTTACAAGCACAATGGCCAAGGGTTATTTCACAGTCAGGCCAGTAAAGCAGAAACAGCACGCAAAAACCCTTCAGTCCACTTCTCACACCAGCGCAGCCATGATTTATACCAGCATACGATCATCTACACCTGTAAAACATCTGTTAATGAACACTTTCCAAATTTGGTGTTTACTGTTTATTTACGGTTGTGAAGTGCATTATGGGATGTTGATCGAGTCTGAAATCTGTCGTAGTAGTTTGAGATGATCTAATGCATAAAAAAATCATATATAGAGAAATAAGTGTGTGAAAGAACAGAAATGTGCTGCAGTTTATTACAAGGAGTTTATAGCGTAATATGCAACACCAAATTCACACTAATCAGCACTTTAAAGGGCTGCACAATATATCAATATTGTAATGTGCATCACAGGATCTGCAACGTCGAGCGTTCAGCCGCACAATTATAATGTTTGCAACTTTAAGAGACTGTAATTGTATTTATATATAAATACAATGAACACTACACTGGGTCACTTTACATTTGACTAAACAATTTGCACTGCTAGACTTCCAGAATACCATGAAATACTGTTTATTTTAGTTGATATCTTTGCTGTTCTGCATTTATCGATCCTCGTGATTAGTTTATTATACTTAATACAGATGCATTTCTCTACAAAATCATTCCTGTCAATCTAAAATGATGAATTCTTACCATATCAATCAACCATTTATTTAATCTGGTAAACTTACTCAATATCGCAATATGTATCGCAGAAAAATTTAACATTGCTGTATCATCTTTTTCCAATATGCAGCCCTACTTTTAACTATTAGAAATGTGCATAAGTCACTCACACACACTTTAAGGTTAAAAGTTGTTGCGAGAAAGCTCAAGATCCCATAATACAATTAAGCAGAAATAAATTTGGAGAAATAAAAACATGAAACACAAAATACAGAAAACTGCTAATTTACGAACAGCTTTCAGTCATAAATTAAAAAATACATTACTGAAAATCAGCAGCATTCAATAATTATTCATTTATAAAACATGATTGATTATTTATATTGAAAATCCTCCCAATCAAACGCAACCAGGCACCTCAGTAACTCAAAATACTTAACATTTCAAAACAAGGCAACGCAGTGGCGCAGTAGGTAGTGCTGTGGCCTCACAGCAAGAAGGTCTTTATAAGAAATAGAAGCTGTTTCTAATAGATCAATTCGAGGTGTTGGTTAGAACAAAACTCCTTTTAATATGGAAAATACTCCCTATATCGCATGCCATTGCTTTTAGTTAAAGCACAATTTAAATCAGCCTTGTTGTTCCTCAATCTGGCAACCTGCACTTGCATTCCTGAAGTAAAACAAACGCAATACTTAGTTCAGCCACTGGGTGTCAAACTTGCACCCAACTTAAATATATTGTACTATTTACTAAAAAGAGAATGCATTACATTGTCAATTGTGACATTAAATATTGTGTATGATTAATATTCATAATGTCTTAATGTTTCTAAATAAATAAATACAATCATACGTAACAATTTTTTAAATAAATTACAGAACTATATTTACTGCGATAGGAGACTGATATTACATAACTACATAACTACTAAAAATTTGTTAAAACCCTAAAATATGGATGTTTTGCATTAATTTGAATATGCAAATGCACATAAATATTATGATAATACAAAAGCAAATTTAATATTTTGAAAATATGCATTCTCTCTGATTTTGCATGCGTTCTGGACATGAGTCCATGAGAGAGAGAGAGAGAGAGAGAGAGAGTGAATGAGATCATGAATGCACTTCATACGAGTTTCCCAACACACACGCACACGCACACGCACACGCACACACATATATAAAAGCTCTTGATTGATAGTCTGGCCTTCCTCTTCTCTGCAAACGAAGCGAGTTTGACAGTGTGATTGGAGCTGCAGACAGTCGGGACGATAGCGTGGATTAAAATGAACTTTAATTAGATTATGTTTTAATCTGATTTTCATTAATACGTAACTAGGAGGCCTAATTGTGAGGAGAGAGCTAAAGAGTATTACCCATTAAAACTCAA